TTAGTTGTGGTGAAATAAGAGCACGCTTTATCAATCTGTCATAAAAGACGCGACAAAATTGTGCGTTTTTTAAAAGACGACTGACTGGGAAATGTTGAAGAAAATGAAAAAGATTTGGTGAATGCTAATGCTAATATAAGGGAGACCCAGAAAAGTGGTAGGAGTGTTATATAATGTTGTTGAGAGCGCGACAGTTCCGAGTCGAGCATGTTTGAGTTTGGAAGAAGCAGGGTCGGATAGAGCGTGGAAGAGAGCGGAAGAACGAGAAGGAAGACTGATCTGTATCGGTTTCAGGAGTGGAAGAGGACGGCGGTGCGGCCGTGCTAAGGACGTCGGATACGGAAGAAAAGGAGTGGTGCGTCGCGACGCTCTGGGTGGATGGTCGTTGGCGGGTGCGTCCTGTTAATCCTGCTGTTCTTCTTCGTGGCTTGTGGCGCGAGATCGCGGCAGTGGCAGTGCGTTCGCCGCCACAGCCGCACGGTGCTGTTGACGCTCAATTCGCGCGCCGTCCATCGGCCGCCATGCCGCCGATGTCGACACGACAGTGACAGTGACAGTGACGCACTATGTCCCAGTCATGGTGAAGGCGCTACTGCTGGGCCTACTGCTAATTGCCGCCCTCGCACGCGCCGCCCCCCCTACCAAGCCACCCCCGGAGAGGGAGGAGGACCCCGCCGCCCGCAGCGAGCGCTCCGCCAACTTATCTCACGTTACCGGCACCGCCAGGAAGATCAAAATGTTTATCAAAAATCGCCACCTTCAGCTTCTGCCGGGCGGCACCGTCAACGGTACCACCGACGACACCAGCCCTTACAGTGAGTCAAAAAATTCAATTCACTAACACTTAGCCCCCGGCGCCCGGTACCACCTCTACCACCCTTTCCCCACCCGGCCCCTTTCACAGCTTCCTTGCAAAACCAAAAACCACCCCGAAAATTTGCATCTCCACCCTAAAACTGCCATTCAAAAAAACAGCGAAATTTCGCAATTTTGCGGCGATTAAATAATACATCCTTGATAGATTACTAATCAGTTAACGCAATTCAAATCAGCCCATTGTCTTCAACCAAGTGGAATTCGAGCGAATTGAAACTAAAACAACCGTAGGCTGTTTCATCAAATCAAAGCTGGCTAGAGGAAAAAACCTCGAGAATATTTTTAGCCGCTATCACTCCTGTAATTTTTCAGGCAATTCTGTCGAAAAACCATTCTAATATAAATAAGCCGGTCATTTGAAATCGGTGCTTGCCAACAACGTGATTATCAAATTTATGTCACTCCAACGAAATTGTTTATTTCACTTAACAAGAACAAATGCCCAACGCGTTAAATCATAATCAACTTTCCGCACTTCAATTGGCCCGAGAGACAGTGGCCCAATTAAAAACCCAACTTATTTTAACTCAAAACGATTTTGGAAAGAAGCTTTTTATTTAATGGAGAAACAAAGTTAAAACGCGATCATCAAAATCGAGCCATCGCAAAGCATAACGAACTTCAATTTCTGAATGAACCATCCATCGTTCACTCGGAAGTGCCGTTATTTTAATTGTTTTACAATATTTACCGTCCTTTCCACTTTCGCGGCAGCAAATTATTTTATTCTGGTATAAATGGTGATAAAGTTGAAGTTTATATCCTCCATATGGACCATCGTGGCGAAAATGGTTAATCCAACACATCCAAATTGCAACTTCTGAATTTATTTCACGTGTTAATAATTCGCATTTCCCTTATATTCGCACAGTTAATACAATAAAATAAGCATTTACTAAGTGGTCTCTAGCACTCGCTGTAACTGGCCTTTGATTGCTATTTGTCTTGATTTCATAACTTAAACAATTACGTTTCAAAGCGCAATTGATGGACCATCACGTAGGCTTTATGACCAGTTTCAATTGCTTCCTTCACAAAAGCAATGTTCTTTTTGTAACGCGCCTCAAAGGTACATCAATGCGCTACAACTTCAGTTAGTTAAAATACGCATAATATTTGAATATTTTTCTTTGCAAGATACACTTAATACACCGCCACTGAGTTAAAAGAGCATAATTGTTTAGAGAGAATGACGTCAGATCAACTTGCACGGGCTCAGGTGCTAAAATAAGCGCAAAGCATAGCTACGCGGATACTAGAGTAGTATCTTTGGCATGTCTCTACGCTTAAGATAGACTAACGTGTAGTCTGATGGCTAACACAACTTTGTTTAGCTATTAACGAACGAACATCTTGATTGAAATGAGCAGATCCTTAATGCATTTTGCTTATAGCAACTAATCACTTAATTTATATCAATCAAAATGTTAGGAAACTTCGCAGCCCTATTAGCAACATAGTAACACCAGTGATAAAAATACGTTCGATTGAAAGATGGACAGTGACGGGTATTAGTAGGCGGTTCTAGTGTTCCCATTACAATACACTATTTCCTTTTACACCATTTCAAACATGGCTCATGAATTAGTGCTATTGATTTATTTATACACTAGTACAAGACATGTAGCAAATGAAAAATATATTCCACCGACAATGCTTTTTCTATAAATAATCCTTTGAGTATGTGTGTCAAATGCTATTAAAAGATGCCATTTAGAAGGCCTAACATCTATTTGAAAGAAAGTACACGAGAGTTCATATTATAAAGAAAAACCAAACTAATTCAAGACGTGTTAATCCTTTGCACTAATATGTTACTGCAAATCGTAGATACCAATTTATTGAGATCTAGGTGCAGAAACCCATAATGCATGTGATTAGGCCGAGCAATTCCAATATATCTGAGTGTCAGCGCGGTAAAAATTAAGATATCCAACTGCGGCCTGTTGGTTATTCCAGTTTATGGCACTTTGATTATTTTGCTGCAACGAGATATATTTTTTGGCTACCAATCTGGTAGCCGTTTTAACCGCAACAAGCTGTACATGAGAAAGATAAATTAATAGATTATCACATTTCTGCTAAACTAACCAAAACCAACAGAAAATCTTCTAACAATTCAAATAATCCACTCAGATTGGCAAACCTATGGGCGTTCAAAAATCGTAGAATTTCCAAATCTACACTTAAGTAAGTTGACTTTTACTTTCATCGCTAATTTTTTAGGACGCACGTAGACATTGATATTTTTATGGCTCTTATTTATAGGTTCACTGCTGGTCAAGTTCGTTAAACGACATAAATGAAATTAGCTTATTAAATTTATCAATTAATGTTTGTTCGTCGGGACTTGTCACTAACAAATTAAATTCGAGCTGTTGGATATTACATAATAGCGTTTTATGGTAAAATTCGCCGGTCTATTTCATGTAAATGATATTTTCTGACATAACAAAAGCGGGCAATTTAAAGCAAAAATTGCCGCCGTTGCAATCTCAATAAGAGCAAATTGGAAAGTAGAAATATTGCAAAAATTCTCGAAAAAGCGCTTATATCAGTTAAAGGGAGTTTCTAAACCGGAAAAAAATTGGCAAATTAAGCGCAATGAACAGATCATGTGACCAAACAAAAACATACAGTAAATTGTGTTCACCTAGATTTTTTTACTAACGAACAGTCGGAACAGTATCCATTGAGAGCACCCGTTTATTAAAGTTTATGACAGAAAGCAAGAACGACTGACTATCAATTCGGTTTCCAAGCAATCTATCTCTCACAGGAAAATCTGTGCTCTACTGACTTGTGATTTATGTGACATATATGCATACTTTGCTTGTTTATGCTAGGTCAGTGCTGCATTGTTTTTCAATGGGTAGAGGAGATATGGGTGACATTTTATTACACTCGGTAGTCAAATTAATGCTTGTTTGTATAATATCATATTTCAATATACACAATACCGGGGAGACTACGAAAATGCGATTAATAGATTGCTCGGAATGCGTGAAAGTTGCAGCAGTTCTTATAGAGTTCCAATTTTAGGCTTTAGTGTGAATATTTTAAGTTTGTTTCCAAGTAATGGAAAGATGCACTTCCGCGATTTTGGCACTTGACCAACACAATTACAAGTGGATATATTTATGGGTATTTTGGGAATTTTGCAAAAAGGGAAGTTACGGTGTGCTCATTTCGGCACATTTTAGATTGAAATGTCGCCTCGAAAAATGTTTTATATCCCTCGTAGATGTTTACCACTCGGCAATTAATAGGACAAGTTCAGTGGTGTCTACAACTAATGGCATATTAAAACGAATATGAATTATTCAAATTTTCTAGAAAATATTTGTAAACACTATAATTTTATTGGATTTGCCCATAAATGTATACCATTGAAATGAAGAAATCATCGATACCATTAATAAACAACAACACTACAAATTTAGTCATAATTCCGGTCTGGAAAATGGAGGTAAGCTGCTAATTTATTTCGGTTTAAATGGAAATTAGTCAACCTCCACGACTTCAACGTATAACGGTTATATGACAAAGTCATTTTGAAATTGTGTCAGAGATGCCTAATTAAACACCGGCTAATTTAAAGACATTGCGGTTTGTGCATTGCAACAGTCGGGTAGAAATATTGCAAATCATCTCAAAAATGAATCTGAACTAATCGAGCAACGCGAAGTTATTCATGACTTCGGATCGGTTTCAGTTCTGCGTCTAAAATTCTTTTGAGGTTTTTAAACCCACTCCTTTCAATTTTTTTATTACCAATCGTCCCCGCTTTCATTGGGCCCCTAATAAAAATGCCATGTTTCTATATCTTTTGACACGGAACGTGTAATGATATTTTGATAAGATGTTGAAAATGCCCCCCAAGATATTCTAGAACTTGTCGTCAAGTTTATTGTCGGTAATCATGCCTCAAACGATTAATAACGTTTTTTTTCAAGGGCTGCTTAACCGCTCTTCATACATACGGCACTATTAATCTGGCAGGTTATATAGGACAGATTCTGGAATCTTTCTAACAAGAACAGCGCATTCAAACAATTAATAAAGGGCTCAAGATAAATGAAATGCAGGAGGATTACAAGGTATGAGGTGTGGCGTTTAGGGCTAATGTGTGTCACACTGTGTCGCAAGACATTTTTTATTTCTACTAGTGCCACAGTATTTTAAATGATAAGGATCTTTTGGGGTGCTATAAAATTCGAGGCGCCGGCATCCGAAAAAAAGGCAAAAATGCCGGTGTTCAAGCCTATTTAATTATGTCAGTGAGGGCAGCCAACACCTCAAGCCGAAATTACAGAGTTAAAGTGAAAGATAATTTGGTCTCAAACGCGTCAACTTCAAGCTTAATACCCTTCTAGTTTTAATGTTGCCGTGTTATTATCTAGGTCTTTAATAATAACGTTTCAAAGGCAAACTTTTTTTCTTGCAACTTGCTAGCTGTTGATGATTTAACCTTTTGGGACGTTTCCATCTACGTAGAAATGAATATTTGGCAATTTTAAGAGAAAGCAGAACAAATCCCATAAAGTCTGGTTAATTACAGTTAAACATTATGTCGTAAATAGTTTTGTGATCAGCAAAGCAAATAAGGTAGGAATTCTCGAAATGTATTGTCATTTTGGGAAAAATTTCAAATATCTAATTAACATGTTAAGCAACAACAAAATACGTCAAATTATAATATTAACATGCAATTAACAAGTTATTTCCTCTGAGCTATAATGAGAGAATCGATGAAATTTAATTTTAATGGGCTTTAAATTTGTTGTGAAAATGTCGTTCGTTTGCCTAATAAACATTCTACACTAGAAACCTGATGAAGTGAAAACTGATGGTTTATTTCACATTGATTCCAGCCATTTATGTATATTTTCCTTTTGGCCCATCCATTATTTATAGCAAATATTTTTCTGAAGAGTAG